GTTCCGTTCGGGTCGTCGCATACAACCCCCTGCCATGGCGTCCCAAGAAAACCCTGGCCCATCCAACGTTGCCGTCCTACTGCAGCCACCGCCACCCGCTCTGCCCAACAACATTCGCCTGCGTGATCCACCTGCAGCTTGTGTTTTCCGGTCTCCGAGGCGATGATGTCGAAGACTGGATCAAGAACTACGACCTCGTCAGCGATTTTAACAGGTGGGACAATCCACAGATGTTGCGCAGCGTTCCCATTTTACTTGCGCGATGTTGCGAAAACTTGGTTCTGGAACCACCACTCAGATCTTCCCGACTGGGACACTTTCGAGCAGCAAATTTGTCGAATATTTGGTGCCCCTACAGTTCGCACTGAGGCAGCAAAGAAGAAGCTCGCTGAACGCACGCAGCTGCCGGGTGAATGTTACACTTCTTATATTGAGAATGTCCTTGCACTATGCAAGCGCGTTAACACCGGCATGTCTCAGAACAACCAAATACGCCACATTATTAAAAGCATTAACACCGTCGCCTTTAACGCCCTCGCCACGCAAAATCCTGCCACCACCCAGGACGTGATAACCATCTGTCAGCGACTTGACGAGCTTCAGTCTCTTCACCTCTGCTACGATGCCACCGACATTCGTTTGCCTGCACCCCTCGACTTGCGTGCGCTTATTCGCGACATCGCTCGTGAAGAGCTGCACGGGCGCTGCTCTTCCTGCGCTGCGGAAGTTACTCTCCCTTCTGAAAAAGATAGCTTGCGAGACCTGATTAAACAAGACATCGCGTCCGCATCGCGTTCGACGTGTTCCAACGGTCCCTGCGTGCGCCAGATGCGCACGTACGCCCTAAGTTGCCGCGCTCTCTGCCACACCCACCGTTTCTGTGCCTACACCAGCAGACCATACGCCTGTGGCTTCGTTGTCACCGCCAGTGCGTGCACCGCCTTACTACGTACCTCAGCGCCCACCTCGACCAATCTGTTACTACTGCGGCTATCGAGGACATATCGCTCGGTTTTGTCGAAGGCGCCGACAAGATGAGTAACGCGGCTACGCTCCTGACGAACATCGAAGCTTCCGTCCGGCCATGAACTACCTACGGCCACCCTCCCGATCGTCGTATTACCGTTCACCGTCTCCTACCTACCATACTGACATGCCTGGGAATTCCCGTACGTCTCACCGCAGGTCGCCTTCGCCAGGTCGCCGTTCAGTGTCGCCTCTGTGGCCCGCCTCCCATTCCACGAACGCCCACGCGGAAAACTCCCCAATGAAGTTTTAGGAGGGGAAACTGCATCCACCGGACAGCTAACAATTCCTCCAGAGCGTCCATCGAATTTGATAGTAGTGTTTGTAGAAGGTGTACGCGTTGAGGCTCTTGTAGACACTGGCGCTGCCGTTTCGATTATTCGTGCTGATTTTTGTTCCCGCCTTCGAAAAGTCACCACGCCTTATATGGCGGCCCTCCTCTCTGTGCGGCGACCAACGCTCTCATTCGTCCACTTGCACAGTGTACCGTTCGTGTCTGCATCGAAGGCATTCGTCATCACATCGTTTTCGCGCTATTTCGTGAGTGCACCCACGCTCTCATTCTGGGGTGGGATTTCTTGTCTTCTGCGTCTGCCTTCATATCTTGTCATCAGCGCCTCCTGCATCTAAATGCCACTGACTCTTCCCCGCTTGAACACGATGGACGCATCCGCCTTGTCACCACGTCAGATTATGTACTTCGGCCTTACATCGAAGAAATTATAAGTGTTAATTGCACCGACATTGTGGATGGCGACGTACTAATCTCGCTTACGGCCATACCCTACGTAGGGGCATTGTGATCACACCCAGGGCTTATTCGATTCTTCGATGGCTCTACGTACCTAACCACCATAAATCAAACGCACGAGTGTGTACTGCTCCCCTGTGGCTCAACAGTAGCTTGCGTAGTCGACAGTGAGCCTGTTGTGATTGTTACTCTTCCGAACAACAACCACAACGATGTCCCAAAGTCACAATCACTGCCATTCAATGCCTCTTCCACACCTGTGTCGGCAACCGTAAACACTGGCTTAACACTTCATCAAACTGAAGATTTGCTCGCCCTGTTGAATAGACACCGTTCTCTATTTGACGTGAACTCGCCCGCCCTCAGCATGACTACCACCGCTACTCACAGAATCCACACTGACAGCTCTCATATTGTACACCGGCGTCCATATCGCGTGTCTCAGGCAGAACGCAAGATCACCGAGGAAAACGTCTCAGACATGCTACGACGCAACATCATACGTCCTTCCGCGAGTCCCTGGTCATCCCCAGTTGTTCTCATTCAAACGAAAGATGGGACAGTGCGTGCGTCGATTACCATGCGCTAAACAAAATAACGCGCAAGGATATTTATCCTCTGCCTCGGATCGACGACGCACTGGATTCATTACAGGGCGCAGAGTATTTTTCTAGCCTCGACCTTTGGTCAGGCTACTGGCAGACACCAATGTCGGAGTCTGATAAAGAGAAGACCGCCTTTTCAACGCCAGATGGGTTGTACGAGTTCAATGTGATGCCTTTTGGACTCTGTAATGCGCCCGCCACCTTCGAACGCATGATAGACGGCGTATTGCGTCGCTTGAAATGGAAAACATGTCTGTGCTATCTCGATGACATAGTAGTGTTTTCATCCACGTTCTCGCAGCATCTGCAACGTCTTGACGAAGTCCTCACATGCCTTGCAAAAGCCGGTCTACAGCTTAACACCAAGAAATGTACCTTTGCTAGCAAGACAATCAAGGTTCTCGGCCACCTTGTCAGCAAAGAAGGAATTCGGCCCAACCCCGAGGAGCTTGCCGCTGTCCTCGATTTTCCTCGTCCACTACGTCAAAAGGACCTGCGCAGCTTTCTTGGGTTATCTTCTTACTTCCGGCGCTTCATACGTGGTTTCGCGGAACTTGCGTCTCCGCTCCATCAACTCCTCGCAAGGAACGTCCCCTTCATTTGGTCCGAAGACTGCGAAAGCGCTTTCACGACATTGAAGCAAGCCCTCACGTCGGATCCGGTACTGTGTCACTTTGATTCCACTGCACCCACCATCCTTCACACCGACGCAAGTAGTCATGGTCTAGGTGCGGTACTCTAGCAGCGTGAGAAAAACTCACGCGAACGCGTCGTTGCTTACGCAAGTCGCGCTTTTACCGCTCCAGAAAAGAGCTGCATTATAACCGAGCAGGAGTGCCTTGCTGTTGTTCGGGCAGTGCAAAGATTCCGACCATATCTTCACGGCCGTCATTTTACCGTCGTTATCGACCATAACGCCCTATGCTGGCTTTCATTGCTGAAATACTTATCGGGTCCCCTCGGTCGCTGGGCGCTTCGCTTGCAGCAGATTGATTTCGATGTCGCCTACAGATCTGGGAAGAAGCATCAAGATGCTGATGATCTATTGCGCTGTCCTTTGCCCAGCGGAAGCCACTCACCATCGATATTCTAAAACAACAGCACCTCTCCAATCGCAGCGCTAAGTTCATCACCTGCTACCCTATCCGTCCTTGTTTCACAACAACGTGTCGACCCATACTGCCGCACCATTGTTGACTGGTTGACCGGCTCTACAACTTCTCTAAACGCCAGACTCCGTCGACAACTTAAACAACTTAAGCTTGTCGGTGGTGCTTTATACCGCTACATTTACCACATCGATGGCAACAAGTGGGAACCAGTTATCCCACGTTCTCTGCAACGTGAAGTTCTGGAAGCCTTTCATGATAATTCAACCGCCGCTCATCTAGGCTATCACAAGACTTACGACAAAAGCCGAAGTTGTTGTTTTTGCCCTGGCCTCTCTTCAGTCGTCGCTAAGTACGTTGCCTCATGTGTCCATTGCCAATTAATGGCGAAAATGACCGACAACTGCTCCGGCTGGCTTAATGCAACCTCTTCCTTGTCCCGCCTTGCCTTTTGAAGTCGTTGGAATCGACTTGTATGGCCCTCTTTTTATATAATCTAATGGGAATTGCTGGATTGTCACGGCCGTCGACCACCTTACCCGCTACGCAGAAACAGCTTCTATACCATCTGGGACTGCCACTGAGGTCACCTATTTCTTTCTTCACCACATCTTTTTGCATCATGGAGCTCCACGCATTCTCCTGAGTGATCGTGGCAAAGTCTTTCTTCCATTGTCGAGCAAGTTTTGCGTGCCTCGAACACTGTTCACAAGACCACTTCTAGCTACCACCCGCAGACCAACGAATTGACTGAACAGTTTCATTGGACCCTATCGGGCATGATTGCCATGTACATTCACCCCAACCACACGAACTGGGATGCAATTCTACCCTTTGTGACATTCGCCTATAATACGGCTGCTCAACGCACTACCGGCTTTTCTCCATTTGTTCGCGTATGGTCGCTCGCCGAGTTTCGCTCTGGATGTCTCTTTTCTTTCGGCCCCTGCACCCTCAACGGCTCCTTCATCTGAAGAATTTTTATCTCGTCTCGCACACTGCCGTCACCAGGCCCGTATTAACACCGGCCTCTCTCAAGACACTCGAAAATCTCGCTACGACTCGTCTCGCCGTGTTGTGAGTTTTTCCCCTGGTGACGAAGTTCTTCTATGGACTCCACTACGCGTCTCCGGCTTATGCGACCAATTCATCAGTCGCTTCATTGGGCCGTACACAGTGGTCGAACAGACATCTCCTGTCAATTACCGCGTTTCTCTTCTTAGCGCTAATCCTGATTATTGTCGCCGAGGAACAGAGATAGTGCACGTATCTCGTGTAAAGCCTTATGCGCGACGCATTTCATAATACTGTCAAGCGACCAGGCGGCCGCTTTCACCGCGCGGGGGAACTAAGGTGAGCGCGACAAGTGAATGACTCTTCATTCTCTTCAGATATCATCATCACCTGTACATCTTTATCATCTGAAAATATCATCACCAGTGTGATTTAGCTCGAGCTTGGCTGAATAAACTGGTTCCTCACACTATAAAGAACTTTATTCGTGCCCGGATGGACACGACTAAAAGAGGCCACGAGACCTCCCCAGTCAAGTCGGTAGTTCTTCCCATGTCAGAACCGGGAAAAGATTACTCTCGGCGACGACACGAGCTCTCTGGATGTCCTGGAGTTAATAGGTGAGGTCCAAGCAGCGCAGTCACTCATCCCAGGTTGCTACATCGTGTAGACTAGAGCCCACGTTAAATGGACATAGTGAGAGCTATATGGTTGAAGAAAGAGGTTTCGTGCAATCCGCTGTATATGCTGAGTCATACGTGCATCTACGCATCGACGTCCCACACATGAGCCACATGTCCACGTCCTGCACGAACACAAATGCTTGTGTGGCGAGATCATCCGGTCATCTACGATATGAATTTGCGTTATACCGCATGCATTGAGCACTTGCACGTGTGCCAATAGCTGGAAGAGCTAGTGGTACGATGATCACATCTTTTTTTTTTCTGATATGCAAGTACACGAATTAATAGTCCTGTGATGACCTTTTCACTCGAGGCTTCCCGGGCGCCGCCATAATCTTCTCTGGACTGCTGATAGTGCGCGTGACTCCCCCCCCCCCCCATTGCACTGCCGAGGCTGTGACGTCGGTTTTTGTACTCTCGTGCAAGAAAGAAGGAAATCATGTTCTCCGCAAAAAGGGCTATATAAAGGAACTTTGGACCCTTCGTACGAAAATACGGTTGGCATTTGAGATTTTGGCGCAGCTGTGCAGTGTGCAGTAGGTAGAGTCATGTTTTTTTTTGTTTGCCCGCATAGTGAACATTACCACAGCCGGCGCGGCGCACGTATGTCGCCATGTTTAACGCAACACAACTGTGTCGAACCTTTAGCTCCGTTATTCCACTCAAAATAGAACTTGTATGCGCGTTGCTTACTTCGTAGCTGGAAGCATGGAGCACGAACCATTGTGTCGCCATTGTTTTCGTTCGACGAAACCAATATTTACACCAGTACGACTTTAAATTCACTATCTGAAAAGTGCATATATGCAATAGCGGTTCACCGGTGCAACGTGGACCTATCTCTATCTTACAGCATTACACCATATTAAGTGAGCTTTAGAGGACCAGACATATTTGTTTTATTAATTATACATATTGACTGGTCTTAGAATAGGATGAAGTAAGCGAACGAGTGAAACTTCAAGAAAGCATCTTTCTCATACAGCATCTGAATGGTGCACAACACATACGGTGTTCTATAGAGGCTACGGCACTCGGTTGCTGACCCGCAGGTCGTGGGATCGAATCCCGGCTGCGGCGGCTGCATTTCCGATGGAGGCGAAAATTCTTGAGGCACGTGTGCTTTGATTTAGGTGCACGTTAAAAAACACCAGGTGGTCGAAATTTACGGTGGCCCTCTATCTACCATAAAGATATGGTTATTATTATTATTATTATTATTATTATTATTATTATTATTATTATTATTATTATTATCATTAAACTATGCACGACCAATGATGCGGCGTGTCACGCGGTGCAATGCAAGTAGATGTTTTTCTGGTTTAGTAGTTAATTTGTAAAACGTAGCTACAGGTTTGCTTCAGATGTTGGTTCGCAGTTTGGTTTGTCATATATATGCAATCTTACTTTTATAAATGCTTATATTGTTTCTTTGCAGGTAACGAAGGCGTTGCTGGGATTTGCGAAAGTCCACAGCTTTTTTCAAACACAAGTGATTGGGCAAACTCACGATGACAACGACATCATCGCCGTAAAGGTATGCTTTTCTAATGCGATGTCATTGTTGTTTACTCTGTCAAGAGAAGTTTGTAAATATGAATGCAATATATAATGGCCATGCATGGACATTTCCCTATCCAGCCGAAACGCCGGTTTTATGTAGCATGAACTCCTGTCAGTGTTTTTTTTTTTTTTGTATATGAAAGTGCTTCTGTATATTTTGAATATCGCCACTTAAAACATAATTGCGCGTCGAAAATGTGGTAGTCCGGTTAGGACTTTGAATTTTGAATGTGTGACAGAGTAAAAAAGCTCTGAACACGGCACGCAGAACAAGAGGTCACATGATGCTGCGCTGACTATCAACTGAGAGTTTAACTGCGTCGAAAGAATTCTACAATGCTATTTTGCTGTTGCGCAGTGTCATCGCTTGCTGACGACTATTGGTAATGCTATGCGTACATGATCCCCAGTATAGATATTATATGGGATTTACCTTGATACCTTATCTTTCAAAAACACAACTTTCTTCACTTCGTATTCGTGACGTTTTCTTGGCAGTGTGTAAAACATTAGTTCGCTATTGACTTCTCTCTCGCGTGGTAAATAGAATAAGTGTACTTTGAACATTCTAATTGTCGATTCCTCGGAAAAACTTGTATGCGAATATGAACCGCAACTCAGTGCAGGAAACTTAGGACACATAGGCAAAGGAACGGACACCACAAAGTGCCGCGTGTTATTTCGAAAGTCAATCTTCGTTTTCTTAGCTGTTTTATCATAAAAAAAGCTACTATAGACATGTAACCTCGGTTCTTTTGTGATGATGAGAGATATTTTTTATTACATCGAAAGCTATTATGAGATCAGAACACAGGTCATGTGCGTCGCCGCAGTTGTCCGCCGCCACCGCTGGTGTCCGTAACCAATATCGCAAGAAATAAGACAAAAAAAAACTCAGCAAGTAAAAAAAAACATACGATAATAATAATGACACAATAAGATTCAAACCGGAGTCCGCTGTGTGCCAGCCCAATATTCTACCACTGAGCCATACCGGCGCTTCATACGCATACCAAAACTTGCCTTAGGCAGCTTTGATGCCGGGAAAGAAATCGTGCTAATATCAGTAATAAAGCGTTTTAGAACACCAATGGAACAACCAGGTGTTACGCAATGTGAATTGCGTAGACTGGGTTGTCCAATGATCTTACCCATCACAAAAGAATGTTTTTGTTCACTTATTAATTGTGGCGCATACCTACTTAATTCTTCGTCGTCGTCAGCCACTGCATAAAAATATTGCACAGTATTCCTAGCAAGTGTGTAGCGGATACCACGCTTATCCGAAGAATGACGAAGGATAGCACAGTGAATACCAGCTTACTACACAAAAAATATGACTATTTATGGTGTAATGGGTAGCAACTGTGCTTGTAGCAGTTACTCAAAGAGTGTTAAGAAGAGGCTATGAAAGGCCTCTCTTAGAGTTTTCGCTGTAACATTGCTGCGCGTTCCGCATAGGCGTGGCGTTTTTTTTTCATGTTTTTTGAGCAATTTTCTGTATCTTTTTGACAGAACTTTTTTTTTTACGAAAAATATGCGGAACATAGATGCCCGGTGTTGTGCGCTCTTTGAAGCGTATCATGTTTTCTTGTCCCGTCCTGTAATATAGGAGGGCAAAACGCTCATTTAGTTTTCATTTTTTTTTCTGTGTAAAGGTAGCCAGTGAAGGTGACCTTCCCATTGTTCTCATCGACTGCGGTGTTCATGCCAGGGAGTGGATCACCATCTCCGCTTGCATGTACATCATCAACGAGGTGAGTGCGCTGCACTCTGGCGGCCAGATCTGTTTGTTTTCTTGTGTGGAGTGGCGCGGCGTCCCCACCGCAACCGAGGTCTTTGAGCCGTGGCGTCACGGGTGAAGATAGACGCTCAATGCATTTCAATGGAGGATGTGGGCAACGTTTATTGTGACTATCTCTTTTTTCATAACGTGTTCTTGTAGCGAGGGCTTCAGCTTCGGTTTACCAGGTGTCGTAACAATCGGAGTGCGCACCTTTCCTTTCTTTTTTTTTTCTCTCTCTCTGTGAACACCCTCTCGCAGAGGCGAATGCACTGTCTGGATTCTCCCACTATAGGAGGCGTTGGACTTCGTTGGAGCCAGTGTAAAACTCATAAATATACTCCTAAAGATCGATTTTCCCAAGTAAAAACCACTCATCCGAAAACTAACGGTAACTAACGGAAACTAACGGCTTTGGGTATAGCGATACCACTCGTGATTCGCCGAGAGCGCCGTGCGCAACTGCTGTCCAGTACATATCTGTGTGAGCGACAAAGATGAGAAAAATAGCTATTCGTTGAATAATACCGTTGGTTGTATATATACAAAACTTATTAGTCTGTCGGAAAGGAAAATACAGTAAGAGAAATGTCTCCATAACCCAGGGATTCCGCAGGACGTATTTATCATAATGAGCGTGCATGTGCTTCGAGTTGTAGATCGATTTTCTCTCGTGCTGCCGATTGCTAGCCTCTTCGTTAGCTCGATGGGTAGAGCGACCGAAGTGGATTGGTCCGGGTCCGATCCCAGTACCAGGACAAATTTCACTTGCTGAGAAATCCGTATGGATTTCCTTGTATCGCTTCCCTACAAGCGGATAGGGGCCAGTGTACCCGTTCGCAATTGTTCTCTTCATTGGCAGAGTTCACCGACGACGCCATACCGTAGCATGCGGGGTTCACTTCGGCCAATGCAAGGGGTACGCGTCGCGCGTCCTTTCATTCGCACGTTTCGCGTCATTTAAACCAGAAGACGCCAAGTTAAGCAATACCTGCAGCATTTCGAACCACAGAATGGAAGACAACTCTTGTTATCGATTGATCTTTGAACGCAGCAAATCATTTTCTTACAAAAAATGCTCTGTAAATATATCACCAGTGAAGAAATTCCTTTTCGTTGCAGCTTGTCAGTCGCCATCAGGAGCGAACCACAGACGTCTCTGAGATATTCAACTACGAGTGGCGAGTGATCCCCTGCCTCAATCCTGACGGGTACGAGTTCTCGAGGAAATCGGTGCGTACACTTTGCCGAACGTAGACGTGCCGTAAAAATAAGGCAGTATTACATATCTCTAATTCTTCCAGTGAGTGCAATAAACGGGCGTGACATCTTATACATTTTCGCTCACGTAACTGAGCCTTGTCTTGCAAATGTCATTGCGCGTGCCTCTAATCTTCGTTCGAGTTTGTACGCGAAAACGGAATTACCCCGATCGAGTACAATGAATTACTTACAGCGTACGAAGCTTACTACAGTAGGATTAGTTACGTTAGATTTAATGGCGCTAAAAAACAAGGCTATGATGCGCAAGCAAGGTTCTACGGTATGTAGAGTATGTTATAACTCGGTGGAGCAAAATTTCATGTGATGAAGTTCTCAGCCACAGCTCCTAAAGCTGCTATACAGTTACGGTAATTGAGTGTCACGTTGAATAGAGAAATAATGCGAAGTATGCGTTGCTGGCTTATTTGCTTCTGTCATGCAGAACAGGATGTGGAGAAAGAATCGCTCCGTTCAATACTCGTCCAACGGCACGAAGTGTTACGGCACTGACATCAACCGTAACTTCGACGTGTCGTTCTGCAGTAAGTCTTCAAGACGTTTTTTTTCTTCTGCGCTTGCTTTTTCTTATTTTTTGTTGCTATGCTCAAGTGTAAAACATGTGGGATACGTGAAAAACAATGAAGTTTCTTGAACGCTAGCCTGCTTCTTTTTCTATAGGTGGTATGTGGCATGAAATGGCTTGAGGCTTGTGTACTTATAGGTCTATAGGTGTACTTTTTGAAGAACCCCAGGTGGTTGAAATTTTTGGAGCCCTTCACTACGGCGTGCCTCATAGTGGCATCGCGGTTTCGGCCTGTCGAATTCCCAGATTATCATAACGATGTCTCTCGTGATTGTCTTCTACTACTTTGCGAGGAAACACTCTCCCGTTGGCCACAATAAAGCTGAGGTGAGTGTATATCACGCATGCAGTTCTCGTCGCAGTATTATGCGTACACGTCGCGCAGGCACGCCCGAGGAGGCGGATCCCTGCAAGGAGACCTTCTGTGGAAAGGCGCCCTTCTCGGAGCCGGAGTCGCACGCCTTCCGGGAATACGTGTCTGAATTCCGGAACAGGATAGCCTTCTACTTCAGCTTCCACGCTTTCGGAGACCTCTGGCTTATCCCGTACAGCTTCCGCTCCGAGAGGCCGCCGGACTACGACGAACTGGTATGCGTACTGACCGCGCACCTGTCGTTGCTGACTTTGTTGCCGGCATGCCCTCAGAGCCGCCCCGCGTCGTGGCACGAATGCGCCGAGCTAAAAAGACGCCGTGCCCGCTAATTGTTTTCATTTACAGCCGACTAGAGCACGCTGTTAGTAATCACGTGTGCATATCCAATTGACGCAGTTTCCTAACCACTATACCAATGCAACAGCTTATGGCTCGCCCAATTACTTTATATTTGAAGTGTCCATAACAGGTTCTAGTTGTGTGACGATCAGTGTGGGTCGATTGATCGGGTGGATAGAAATTGACGTGAAACGACATGAAATCAACACTCAAATACAAGGGAAGCAGGTTGAGGTGCTTGTCTACTGTATTACGTATTCACATGAATATTTCGGGCCATGCCGTTATTTTGACTTGATACGGAAAAAAAACTGACAAGTTCTATCAAAATGTGCTATTTCTTGTTTTCAAACGTTAAGCTTACAAATCACTTGCTCACTACTTTAATAACGTTGCTGTGTTAGACTTCATTATAATCGGTGTGTACTATTTAGGCAATATTTGTCATGGTATTTATTCGTGGAGCTCATATAAAAATAATTTCTATTGCCTTGAGTCAGTGTTAAAGCCTCGAGTTTATCTACCACTTGGTTTTCAGTTTTTTTTGAGAGCCACGTTTCATGTCATTTTTTTTTTTATGATCTCTCGACACACGACACAACGGTCCCACTTCAGCTATACTTGCCATCGTGTCTTTCTAGATGGCGAGGGCAAATCGAGCAGTCTCGGCAATACAAGAGGTTAGCGGCACCCGCTACAAAACTGGATCCATATCTTCCTTACTTTGTGAGTATACGGTCGTATATCATGCATTACTGAACCTTGCTGAGCTTACCTAGCGCATCGGGGAGATTACTATGAAAAGTACAGATTATCATTAGAAGCCGCTAAGGACCAATAAAGTCTGTCTAGATTAAAACATGGCTGCCAACATCGCATTTGTGCATGACTACATACAGATGTTTAAGTTGTATACGTGTTTCCCACCACAGTTTTTCTTATTAGGACTCAGTCGAACGTTACGAAAAACACTTTTCAAGAGGTAACTAAATTGTGCATAAGTGGTTTTATTAATATCAAAGTGAGTGTGTTATCCGAGTTCTGATGGAAGAAAATAAAAATGTATTTCGACAGAGAGTTGCATATATATACAGTTGCAAAGCCGTTCACGTTTATTCAACTATACATATTGGCCTTGCCCGAGTCGAGATGGCTCGTGTGTGCATTCTTGCATGAAATTCACTACTAATGCATCATTATCATCATAACCGCCACCACCACTTTACACACTTTACACTCCAAGCTTCCCAAAGACATGTAAGGTACGAAATGCTTCAGAAGTGTTGTGTCTCGGCTGAGTTGGTCATCCATGAACTTAGCTTGTATTGGCGCGGTACATATATAAAGAAAGGTGACACAGACGATTAGCGCCTACATTTCTTTACGTCTTTGTCGTCTTTTCTTCTCATATATACCGCGCTGATACAATCCAAGTACAAAACGTTTCATTTTTTTTTTATGCTACACTTTCTTTGTGGCGTAACAACCAGTGTGCCTGTTCTTTAGTTAATTTGAAAGGCCCTCGGCAAACTATCATAGGCCTTGAAAACGAGCGTTTGTTTGACGCTGAGTCTGCAACTTCGCTGTATATATATATAGGTGTCGCAGAAAATTTATGAACAGTTTCACACGTACGCAGACATCGCTCCGGGCACTGCGGTCGACTGGATGTACGTCAAAAAGGGTGTCCGAATGAGCTTCACCATTGAGATTTCTTCGGAGAAGAATGGATTTTTCCTTAACCAAAGCAACGTCATCGACGTCCCGAAGCAAGCGTGGGTTGGCGTGGTAGCTACCATTCAATAGCAATAAAAGAAATTCCGAGTAATTTGTGTGCCTGCGAAAAGCGCATACTGTACCTTATTGCGATATACTGCGCCAATGGGTCATGAGGACAACTATACCCTGCTGATAAACACTGTAAATGCAAGACGCAATGATCAGCAGAAATGAAAAGTTGCTAAGAAAAGGTATGGCGTATATGTGACCAGCTGTTGACCAGCAGTCACCAGTGTTTTGAATGTTGTGCATGTTGTGCGGATATCCGTTTTGTACACGCGAGGTGTGCAGTCTTGCTGAGCGGACATACTCACTGTTACATTTTTGAAAACTCTCGGCAATTTTATTTTCAACAGCGAAGCTGATTGTGCTGCCATACTGTGTTCGTCGTATCACGATTCATATAAGCGGGTGCATTCAAGAAAAATTGGGTGAAGTCCCACTACTCCGGTTACTCCCCACTGGTCCACTAAAAAAGAAGGCCGCAGTTCGCAGAACAGCGAAAGGCTACGGCGGTCGCGAGAAAACAAAGAACCGATGGAAGGCCTACACCAACGACGATGTTCCTGTAGATCTACGAGAGGTACACACGCTTGGTTTGAGCGCGAGTTTGTCACATCTATTTTGTGTCGAAGTGTATTTGTGGTGTGAAAGCTTTGCTGCAGCCCGAGTTCCTGTCTCTATAGGGTTTGGACGTCTGTGTCGTATCTGTGATTGTGTGTGGTTCAGATCGAACATCTCTGCGCCTATAGAATCACCGTAGAAACAATTTCTAGCATCACCTTCATGAATCCTAGCAACGGCCTACAAACAGCGCTCAACACCTATAGCTAAGGCCTAGAAACAACCTCCAAGAAACCTGATGAGTCTTCATAACATTCCAGTTTTTGCTGTAGCTTACGCCACTTAGTGCAAGCTTCGCCACATTTTACTTCTTTTTCTTTAATTCTAGGAAAAAAAAAGTACTTCAACTCTTCGCAGAAATTCATGCACTCAGTTATCGCAAAACTCCGAGGAAGTAGTATAACTACAGCTGGAAGTGCGCTTTTTAACTCTTGCAGGAGTGTATGTGTACTTCATTTCAGACGCACCACTTCATTGTGGCTACAGAGCTTGTTCACATCGTTCAGCCGGAGTACCAGAACTCCGTGAGAGAAAGTATGCCTACTCTGTGCAGCAGAGCATTCCTAGCACTTGTGAATATAGAGTTGTATGGGACAAGCGTTCACTTCCGCGAAATGAGTCGCACTCCATTACTGGTTGGCGCCGCTGCCCGTTGCGACGCGTAACCTATCCTAATGCTGCCCGCCAGGGAAAACGCGCCACATAGCAAAAAAGAAAAAAAAGAAAGAGAAAAAAATAGGAGGTAGAACTTGTTAACGTAATATAGACCTTCGACTCCAGTGTGGAAAAACGAAGGGATGGTCGCCTGGGGACGTAGGTCGAGGCAGTCTGTTCGTTAGCCCCGAAGCGTGCACCTCTTGTGGCGACATTAAGGCGAATCCCTTGGATGCCTCATCAAACGAGCGAATTCACGGCGTCCCGCGTCGCCCCCCCCCCCCCCCCCATGTCAGCGGTGTCAGTGCGAGGAATGCAAAAAAATCACGACATGATAATAGATATGACGTCACCCTGACGTCACAGGGCGCCAGAAGATCAGTGGCCAGAATTCGTGATTTCATGACATCATGGTGACATCGTACGACAGCATTGTTTGGTCAGAGGTGCGCCGCGCATAGGTGTTCCCTGGCCATGCTCTTCCGGAGGCAGTGCCCAAAAACAAAAACAAAGTAACGAGCAGAATGCCTATTTTGCACCTCTACTCCTGAATGCATTGCAAAACCACATTCGTTACAGGGAACTTTCAGACGGGTGCGCGGTAGGTGCAATACGTAGAGTTGGAAGAAAAAAAAATGCTGAGAATACACCTTGTCGGAATCGGTTCCACGCGAATCAGTCAGGCAGTAGTTCTATGTTGTGTTTTTTTAGCTTTCCGAGCGTTACTACGTGGATCGACGTGTTTGTGATGGAAGAGTTGCTTACCAGCCACCCCGACTGCACGGATGTTTACATGGTAACTTATATTCTGACGTAGTATCAGCACTCATGTTGGGGCACATACATCAGTATTATTATCGAAAGGAAGTGCGCTTACGATTCGATTATGTGAATGTGAATCGCGCTTTGCACCCATGCAGCACTTCCATCAAGTGTAAAGTGACTTATTGAGCGTGCCGAACAAGTGGGTGATAGCTCTAAAAGTACGCAGAGATGATTGTGCGCGAACACCGATCTCGTGCCTTCGTCTCGTGATGATTATAGTTCAGCCCGTGATATCAACGTCTTCCTTTCTTCATTATATACTTGCATTATCGTGTTCTTAGGGGTCGAGCAAGGCTTGAATATAAAGTTTTCCAAATCATAGGAATACAAATGTAATGCCTATTTTACCGCTATAAAAGCGCAGCCAACACTGGAAGCACTGACGTTTACATTACATAACGCCTCTATCATAAGTGTACACATGCAAGGTCTGTTGCTTTGTTATAAAATTACGCAGCTGGCATCACAACCACAATTGACGTTGTACCAACATTGCGCGTGCATATGGTGTTTTCATGAAGCAGTTTCTATAGACCTGACGTGGCTCTGTAGTAGAATAATTGACTACCACACATAATGCTTGAGTTCGATTCCTGCTGTAATTTTATACTGCGCATTCGACTGGTCAACACTGTCGATGTCGCTACTTCTTAATCGAGGCTGTCGCACTTTTGGCGTGTGCAATGTACCTGTGTCCTTTGAGACAGGGTTGGTCAGAATGGAACGCGAAGCGCGTCTCCCTTCCTGTATGATTGGACACGCTGGACACAGCGAAACTATACGCTAGCAAAGTGCGAGCGCTGTAGAGTCCGACGCCGACGCGAGGCGCAACCAACGCGCCCGGCGGCCACCTGGCACCATTGTTGGGCACGCACGAACGGATGGATGAACGGACGTGAGCATGACACATTAAAGGCTGTCGCCTTAGTAAACTTTCTATCAGCTGTGGCGCATGCCCAGACACTGCGGCCAGTGGTGAACTGCTGTATGTGCCACCCGTTTCTGAAAAAAAAAATGAATTTACGACGTGCTTGACAGGTTTTTCACGTTATTCACGTCATGAACAGACGGTAATATTCGTCAAATGCTCTTACTCTTCCATGCCAATTTGGTTTACAGCAAGTTAAGGAGGTGATCGCGAGAAGACCCACACTTATAGGTGGCTAGATTGGTAGTATGTAGATAGAAGCGCTCAAAGTGCCTTGGGTTGGCTATAACAAACGCTCCGCAATTGAAAGCGTATACAAAGAGCACCGCTTTTGAAAATATTGCTCTGCGTACAAGCTGACGCGTCGAACACCTCCATTTCCTGGCCTGTAACATACGGAGGTTGCCGAAAACTTGGTTAGCGGCGTCATTGTGACCTATAGTGGTGCGCATATTTAAAACTCTGTAGATTGCTCCAAGCTTATTGATGAGTGCCTGAATCGGCCTGCTATTGGTCTGGTCGTAAGCGACCGGCTCAACGGGCTTGTGGAAAATCAAGACTCTTCAGGGTCCCTTTAAAAAGAATAAAAAATGGTGAGACCGTGCTACAGAAGTTTTAAAATTTGACGAGACAGTTCTTGCCTACTAACCAGCAAATAAAGCTAATAAATTGCCTGATCAGCGCAGAGAGCGTAACTTTAGCACTTATCGTTACTGATTTGTTCACAGAAAACAGGCGTCAACAAGCTTCCTTATGTGTGTTTATCTGTAAATTTCCATCGCACGGCAACGCTTGCGGTTTCCAACAGCGTTTGACATACACTAATCTAAGGAAGACCTTGTTGACACCTTATATCCGTTTTGATGTTATTGGTGAAAAAAGCAGATCTTTCACGAGCATCCTACCAGAATCGCTTTTAATTTCAAATATACAACTGCATTCACTGAGGAGAAAGAATAGAGCCGCATAGCAGAAAAACGAAAATTTCAAGTATAACTAGTTTATTGGAAGCATTAGATAAACGTGTTAAACAGCGACTAGATATAACCGACAACATTAATCATCAAACCGGTGCAAAAAGCGTTGTAAGCAGCTGCGAGATATGATTCACAGCATTCGTGTATACAGATAGATTGAGTTATAGCAGCCCACTGCCCATTTACCTCATATCGATCTGATTAACAAAGAAACAAAAATTATAACGCCCGCTTTTGCAGAACTCAATTACACCTGGACCACATTCGAGCACCTCTGGGCCCATTTCTCCTTTGTGCATGGGCGAAGATGCACTGCTCCCCGTTTCATGCAGGATGAGTAATGTTTACTTGTTCGGTCTTGATCTGGCCAGTAGTAGAAACGTTGATGGTCTGGCCGGCTAGATGCCGCGGGGCTCATTGTCCTACGTGTGAGCGCCACGGGAGTGGGTGGAATGCGCATGAACTGCCTGGATGGTAGGCAGCCCAATGGGGCTGGCTGGCACCGGTCTCGGTGGTCCCGCAAGGCCAGGTTTGCATCTGTCTGCCGTGTGGCCGGCTGACCTCGACGCTGGCCTGAGAAACCGGGTGGGAGCAGTGAGTGCAGGGGACGGCCAGGGCACAGTACAGATTGGATTGTCGCACGACCTGTGGCTGGATGGACTGGGACTCGTAATCCGGGAGTTGGAGTTGTTTCTGCCCGTCCATGCTGTCTTTGACCCCCTCTCGGAAGATGGGCATGTTCAAAATCAGGTTGGTCGAAGTCTCCGGAAGCATTCTTCAAGCGCGGGTACTTCCCAGGATCGTACGCCAGTGTGGGCTTACTTGCATCCTGCGGCACTTGCGTGAAGGGAAGGCTGGGCTGTAGCACACAAGGGTCAGAGCCGCACAGTAGGTCATGGCGTGGGTATCATGACCGGTGGCAACAGCGTGGTGGGCCGGATTTCCTGGTAGGAAGCAGCAGAGGACAAAGCGTGCCGTTTCACATGTGTCCGCTGTAATGCCGTCCCCTGGTATCTCTGATTAAGATACGGTGGTGACCATGAAGAGCAAGAATCCTTCACGGTCTGCTGAAGCCTTCCGCATGCAGACACTAAGGAATGTCGGCGCTTGCTATGGTGCACCAAGCAC